TGTTAACTTCCCCCACACACAAAATAGTAAATGAGACTTACGTTCACCGCCTTGCTGGGGCTGCTGTTGAAGCAGAAACTGGTGCTGAAGCTGCTGCTGCTGCTGCTGCTGGTTTGGCTGTTGTTGAAGTAGCTGTTGCGGCTGTTGTTGTTGCTGCTGCAGTTGCAGTTGCTGATCAGACCCAGGCTGTAGTGCTGCAGTCCTCACCATGGTCATCGTTTGCTGGGGCTGTCCGACTTGCCCGATTCCTCCAACGCCGACAGGACGAACCATACCAGGCGTATGTCGGACGGGCAGAAAAACCTGTCGGGGACTAGCCGGTGGCTGCTGTTGTTGTTGTTGCTGCTGCTGCTGCTGCTTGAACAGCGTGGCTGCTTGCTGCATCGATGTGAAAGGAAATGCTTGCTGATGCTGCTGCTGCTGCTGCATCATCTGCGGTGACATTTGCGGCGACATTTTCTGAACCATCATCTGCGGCTGCTGCTGCTGTTGCTGTTGAGCCTGAGATGTGGCCACGTTTAATACTGCTGCTGCCGCTTCTTGCTGGCTATTAGAGTTGCCAGAGTTGATTATGTTCAACTGCTGCTGTCCCACCACGCCCATCTTGGTCGCCGTTTGCTGTTGCTGCTGCTGCTGCAGGGTGACAAAGAAAGGCATCGACTGCTGCTGCGGTGCGACGACATTTGGCGGACGGAATTGTCCAACTCCTGCTGGCTGCTGATCCTGCTGCTGCTGCTGCTTGATCGCCACCGGAAGGGAAACCACAGTGGCAGATGCAGGCGGAGGTGCCGTCGATGGAGTAGACAGCACCGCCAGAGCTGAGCTGGAGCTTTCATTGGCCGAACTGACAGGCGTCACAACGACCTGCTGCTGCTGCTGCTGTGAAGCTGAGGGCGTCGAAGCTGAAGATGAGACAGGCGCCGTCGATGAAGCAGAAGAAGCTGAAGAGGTGTGCCTCCTCGAATCGGCCGAAGAGGAGTCCGCCGACTTCATCTCCTCGAGCATACTGAGCAAATTAAGATCGTCTAGGTTGTTGAAGTCTATCGAATGATGGTGCTGGTGCTGGGGTCCTCCCTCAGTGGTGGGGGTCGTCGCCGAGGAGGAGGCAAGGAGGAGATCATCGTTGGGGTTCGTAGTGGCCGAGGAAGCAGTTGAGGAGGAGGAGGAGGATTGTGTAGCACTGCTGGGAACAGTTCCAGGGATGACGACCATTCCCTGCGAGGAGGACTGAGAAGGTGACTGGGAAGGCGGCGGCGGCGGCGGGGGTGTGGCGGGAGGAGGCGCCGGTGGCTTGTCCATCGTCGCAGAGGCGTTCATTGTCGTCAAAGTCGAAGGTATCGTCGGCGGCCTAATAGTCGGCAGAACAGCGGTATTTGTGTTCGTCGCACCGCTGTTTTGGCGGTCAAACGGCGGCTGATGATGATCTGAGCGGCCGCTCTGCTCTGCTGCTCCTGATGCTGGCGACTCCTGAAGAAGTAGAGCCATTGCTGACGTCGATGACAATGATGAGGATGATTGAGGCACTGATTTTTGAGAGGTGATGAGAAGACTCGGCTGAGAAGAGGAGGAGGAGGAAAAGGAGGTCGTGGAAGAGGAGGAAAAAGATGGTTGTGATGATGAAGAGGAGGAGATGGTGAGAATCGGTCCGTTGAACTGCTGCTGCTGCTGCATAGACTGTGATGTCGTACGTATGTAGGCGAGGTTAAATGCAGAGGTTGCCACAGAAGGGGCAGAAAGCGCAGAGGTGTTGCCGCCTCTGCTGCCAAGTGCAAACTGGTGCGGACTGGTCACCACAGAGTTGTTCACATGATCACCACCACCCACTGTTGTAGAAAATGATGATAATGACGACGATGATGGCGGCATTGAGATGGAGCTGGAGCAGACAGTCGTCTGAACGGGCGGCGGCGGTTGAACAATGTTCATACTTTGACTGATCGATTGCGCCGCCGTCATGGCCGCTGTCGTCAACGAGGTTGAAGTCGGCGTTGGTGGTAGTTGTGGTGGAAGCTGAACAGTGTCAGTGATTTCCGAAGCCTTGATCATTGCCCCAGGAACATCGCTTCGAGAGTCATCAGTGGACTGCGGCAGAGAGGCTGCGGATGCTGTTGCCACTGTCGGACCGTTGTTATTGGGACCAAATGGAGGTGGAGGCTGTGATTGTGAGTGAAGGTGTGACTGATGCTGCTGGTAAGGATGATGATGATGAGGTGCACTGTACAGTAGGGAGTTGCTTCCTCCTCCTGCCCTCGCCGTTGTCGACTGACTAAGGTAAACCGTTTGCGCCTGTTGTTGTTGTTGTTGACTGGCGGCAACGTCAGCAGGCGTAGACGATGCTGATGGCGACAATGAATTAGAACTGCTGCAGTTGCTGTTGTTATCTGCTGAGGCAGCAGCTTCAGGCGGCAGCTTTGTAGGCGGCAGAGAGCTCGTGGCGATGTTCATGCCATCATCTCCATCACCCGTCTTCCTTTGAGCTTCGGCAGCTGTAGTGTTGAGAGTGTTGTTGCTGTTGCTGCCATTGCTGCTCTCGTCACTGCCACCACCGATGCCTCCATTGACTTGTCCATAGGCATTGGTGGTGTTTAGGTGACCACCGCCACCGCCCACTCCCAATAGATGAGGCTGATGATGGAGGTGATGGTGGGGGTGGGGGTTGCTGGTGGTGGTGTTCGTAAAGGAGGATGACCCGTGTAATGGCGGTGATGTGGATAAGGAGGAGGAGGAGTTGGTGGATGAAGTGTCACCGGCTGTCCTACACTCCCTCGCCTCACTGCTGGTGATGGAGGTGCTGACCAGGCTGATGCCGCCGCCGCTGCCGCTGGGCAAGCTTGCGAGATGGACGCCACTGCCAATGCTCGTCGTTGAGGATGATGAGGACGTGGAGAATGAGTGGACGCCATGGTCAATGTTGTTGATGTTGTTGTTGATGATGTTAGTGTTGCACGCCAGGCCATTATTATTTGCACTGCTTTGAGCGGAGTTGGCTAATTTGAGAGAGATCACCTACAATAACAACAAAAAAGAGAGAACAAACGTTAGAACAGAATTGAGCAAAGAACATTGAGCAGAAAGAGCCGTACCTGTTGACCCTCAAGCTGTATGGAGAGGATGCCGAGCTGGCGGAGGTTGGCGTCGCCGTGCTCCGCCAGCCGCCGAAGCCTCTGGGCGGCCTCATTCTGGAGGTTGAAGGTCACTCGGACGCCGTTCCAGGGCTCCACTTTTGCCACCTTGTTCGGGAGCGCTGGTCTGTTCGACGAGAAGAAGAGGAACTACCGCCGCGAGCACAACTACCGCGACCACCACCACTACCAGTCAGTCAGTCACAGTTACAACAGTCCAAGAAGGGAGTGGTGGACCGACGCCGAGGAAGGAGGTCGAGCAGACGAGGCGTGCACGAGGTGCAGGGGCTGCTGCTGCTGCTGGCGGTGATGCAGATGATGCCGATGATGGAAGCTCCAGTTTAGAATCTCTCCAGTGTCTCCAGCAGCTTCGAAATTGAACGTCGATTCAAAACACACACAGCTCCGTCGGCAATGTTTCTGCTCCGGTACCTGCTTCTGGCGGCGGCGGCGGCGATGTTCTACACTGACGATGTTGTTTTTGTTGACGCCTTGTGAAAGTTGCCCGGCTTATCGTAGCGTAGCGACGAAGACGACGACGAAGGCAGCAGCAGAGTGGGGCCTAGCGTGGCCCTCGGAAAGAGAGAGAGAGAGAGAGAGGGGCAGGGAAGGCCAAAATAGAAGAGAGAGAAGTGAAATAGAAGTGAGACGGGGAGAAGAGGGAAGAGAGTGCCGCGGTGGAGAGAGCGGGAGAGAGAGAGAGTAAAAGAGAACAGTAAACACTGAGGGAGAGCAGCAGAGGCAGAGACTCAAGCTTTTTTTCGCATAAACACAGCCAGAGCCTGCAACTTCAGTCTCACACAGGCACAGGCTTACGCAGCTCTTCGTTGATCGCGTCCAGAGATGCTGATGGATTTCCTGCCCGAAGATTCACCTGCACGAGCCGCCTTCCACGCGTGCTGCTCCCCCGCACAGAGAGGAGCAGCGGTCAGAGGCGGCGGTTGCACGTCGCTCCACCCGGCAAAGCTGGACAGCGTGGTGGTGGGGTGTAAATAGCGGTAGTGGCGGCGACCAACAGGGCCGATCACAGATGCCGTCTCGCGGCGCGCGTCAGCGGCGTCGGATTGTCAACAAACGGACCAGAAAGAGGCGTGTAGGGAAAGGTAGGAGAAAATCCGGCTCAATTGAACTGATTTCTGGGAAAGTCATCTGTAAGCTGAATGGCTGATTAGTTCTTTCTGTAGAACTTTTCTATCAATGTTTTTGTTGTGATTGCCTCTGCCGCCGCCGTTCCAAGAATGTACCTGCCATTGCACGCCTACGCAAAGTACAATCATCTACGCCCACGCCCAAAATCAATCAGTCAACTTAGTGGTGATCCATAAACGGTGTAATGAGGAGGTCGGTCTTTAATGAGCTTAATAATACAAAAATAGGTGTCATTTAGGTATGTGTGGTGGTTGTGTGGTTGTTATCGCTGCCGCTACCGTTGTTGTGGAGGTTATGTAATGCGGCAGAGCGAAAGAGGGAAGGAGATACTAAACGTTGGTGTGACGCAACTCCGAGGAGAAAGCGAGAAAGAGGAAAGTAGGGATCAAGTAGAATGGTGTGTTAGCTAGTAATAATAAAATAAAATGAAGGAAGAAAAGAAGATGAGGGAAAGTCAGGGGTGGAGGAGAAAGAAGAAATCATCATGGCAAGACATGGTCATCGTCATCATCATCATCGTCAAGAATAAATAATAAATAGAGAGAAGCTGTCAGAGAAGAAGAAATGCGGACAATCTCAGGATGGGTGTGGGTGTGTGCCAGAAGAGGAAAATTGAGACAAAAAGAGAGAGAGAGAGTTGCTGATCACCGAGGATCACTGGGCGTAAAAGAGGAGAATGGCCAGAAAGTGTGTGTGTGCTTTTATACAGAAGTGTGGTGGTGTGCTCTGCTACTGCAGCGACGACTGCTGCTGAATTTCAATCTTCTCGACGGTCATGTCGGGGTTCATCATGGTGGCCTCCTGGATGGCGTCCGCCAGCGCCCGGTCGTGGTCGATCGGATCGCCGTCCGACTGGATGGTGATCTTCTGCTCCACTCGCGTCTCCACGACGCCGTCCTTCTCCATCTTGTACTGGTGTGGAAGGAAAAGTTTAGAGCGGTTAGCAAAAATTGAAAACTCAAAGCTCCACACTCCACACTTCACTTACCGTAATGGTCTCGACGGTGCGCGTCTTCGAGGAGATCGTCTGCGAGGAGATAATGTCCGAGGGGTCGACGTTCTCGAGGCCGGGAATGGAGCGCAGCTCCTCCTCGGTGATGCCGCCGTTGTTGTCGTCGCCTCCGCCGCTGTTGGCAAACTGCGGCGGCGGCGGTGGCGTGTAGGCGGACGAGCCACCTCCACTGGGCTTGCCCTTTGCAGACGGCTGATAAATGGGAGGGGGTGGGGTGGAAATAGAAAAAGAACAGAAGTTTAAAATCTATCAAAACAAAGGTCTTTGTTTGCTGCTTACCTTCGTCTCCGTGTAGGCCATCTTCCTCGTCTCCGTGGCAATGACCGGAACCGCTCCTTTGGTCGAGGTGGTCTTGGGAAAGCCCACCTTGCCTGCATTTCCACCACTACCATCTTCGGTGGTGTCGCTGATCATCGTCGCCGTGGTGACATTCTCCCTTAGGTGGCGCATCTTGGAGCGCTCCTCGTAGGTGGTCTGTCGACGGCCATCAGGACTGGCCGCGTGGTAGCCCTTGGTCTCGTCCTCCGAGGCCTCCACCACCTTCGTCGTGGTGCTGCTCTTCGGTCCGGCGCTGCTAGTCGAGCTGTAGGCGTTGTAGTCCTGACTGTGGTTGTGGTACGTCGGCGAGGCGAGCAGCGAGTCGGCCGTATGGCCGCCGCCGCCCGAAGTGCGCGACTTGCTGCGAACCGTGCTCTGTGAAATGGGAGAAAATAAAAGATTAGATCAAGCTCAAAAATGATAGAAATGCGCAAAAGGTAAAAAATAAGGGAAAAAGTAAAAATGAGCGTTAAAAAGTCGATGAAAAAAGAAAAGAAAGAAATGAGCGTCAATGTTAGGTATGATGAAGAGATGAGCGAGAGAGTGCAAAGTAGAAATGACGAGCGCAGAAGTAGAAGTAGAAGAGGAAAAAGTGTGAAGAATAGTAAAGAGAAAGAAAGTAAAGTGCATAGAAAAGAATTGATCAGGTCGACCAAAGGTGATCGAAGAGGTGTTTGTGTGCTATTCTGTACCGGATCAGGTCTGGAGTAGGTGGCCGTCGAGGAACCATACGAGGTGGGCCCTGCAGTGGTCGATGGGAGCACGCCCACCACCACCGGCTTGCTGGTCTTCGTGGTGGTCGCATGGGAGGTCATCGTCGCCGGCTCCAGAATCTCCTCCATCTCGATGGTGCTGCCGTCGGCGTTGGTCACCACGCGCTTACGACTGGCGTGGGTGATCTTCGGCCCGCCGAGGTAGCCACCCGCTCCGGTGCTCGTTCCATGTGGATCGTGGTAGGTGGAGGCGGCCGACATTTGCTGATAAGTACTACCGCCTGATCTAGGCGCATGCTGGTACTCAAAGATGGAGGTACTGGCCGGCTTAGGCTTCGTCGGAGGCGGTGGTGATTTAGTGGTGGACGACTTGGTGGACACCGCCGGACTGGTGATGATTGGCTGACGGTAACCGGAAGTGGTGGTGGTGGTCTTCGGCTTAGAAGAGGCGGTTCGAGGAGGTTTTGAGGATCCGCCGCCTCCCAAACCATAGCTCTCCTTTTCGTACTCGTCCAGACTGCTGCCGCCGCTGCTCTCCAGCGACTCGCTGCTGCTGCCCTCCAACTTTGAGTCCTTCGACTGGCGCGAGATACGCCCACTGGAGGAGGACAG